TTAGTCTGGTGTGTCAGAGCTTCCTACAGATGCTTTGTGAGGCAGTTAAATACAGTTAAAAAGAGATGTTAAATGCCAGTGTACCCCCAGCTCAATATGGCAATTGACCATCAAATGCCATCACTGGTACTTTTACCACTGTAGTAAATCATAGTGGGAATAAACAGGTAATATCCAGCAGTGTCCTTTGCAAAAGTTAGCAGTAAGGAAAAACTTGCCTCTTGCTTTGCTCAGCAAGCGCAGGAACAGGGGAAGTAAAAGGTCACCGAAATATATCCTTACAAGTGTGCTTTCGAACCTGCCGTGCCCTGTTCCTCCTTCAAATGGAGCACTGTGTGCAGTTCTGGTGTCCTCTACATAAAAAGGACATGGAGCTGTTGGAGCAAGTCCAGAGGAAGCCATGAGGATGAGCTCCAGCTGAGAACACTGGGGCTGCTCAGCCTGGAGAAGAGAAGCTGTGGAGACCTCAGAGCAGCTTCGGGCTACAAGGATGCTGGAGAGGGACTCTTCCTCAGGGACTGTAGTGATAGGACAAGGGGTGACGGGTTCAAACTGAAACAGGGGAAGTTCAGGTTGCAGATAAGGGAGAAGTTCTCCCCTGTGAGGGTGCTGAGGCACTGGCACGGGATGCCCAGAGAAGCTGTGGCTGCCCCATCCCTGGCAGTGCTCAAGGCCAGGTTGGACACAGGGGCTTGGAGCAAGCTGCTCCAGTGGAAGGGGTCCCTGCCCGTGGCAGGGGTTGGAACTGGCTGATCTTAAGGCCCTTTCCCACCCAAACCATTCTATGATTTTCCATTCTTGGAATGGTTTTAATTTATTTTTCCTCCTAAGCCAATTTTCCCATTATAAAACAAGGGGGAAAAAAATATTAAAAATAGGTTTGGTCACTTCCAAAAATAATAATTTGTATAAACTCTGAAGGGCTGGGACAAGAGTCAGCAGAATATCAATGCTGTGAGGAGAACTGCACGTCTGCCATAGACTGTGGAAGAAAAGGAACACGAGTTTTTAGCTGTAGCACATCCTCCTCCCCAGATATCACCAGATAAAATAGCAAAAGCTAAAACTAACCCAAGGAAAGAGAGAGGAAGTTGGTGGGAAGCAACAGCCAAAATTCCTCTAAATAACTTTCTGCTTTTATAAACAAAACCTCCACTGAGAATCCGTGCTCTTCAGTCCTTCAGCTGGATTTTTGGACTTCTTCTAACACTGCTTCATTCCGGTGTTTGAACACCTGTAGAAACCTGCACCCCCTTAAATCACATCCAACCCTACCTAGAAATAACCCAAAGTATCTGGAATTACACCCACACCAGTAAATATAAAAAGTAATCACATTCTTAGAAGCAAACTGGATTTGTAGTTTTAGAGACACTGCTTGTGTTTTGGTCACAACATGTTTGCTTTGCCTCTTCTTTAACTCTTTCTATTTCTATATTTAATCCTCTTGAGGTACATCCTGAGATGCTTAAAGCTTAAATCTCAAGACTCTTTCTCCTCAGAAGTTAATCTTCCTCCTAATTTGATAACTCAGGTCAGAAGCGTGTTCAAAGGCAAGCAAGCTCTCATTCCTTTCTCTCCAAATGCTCCTTTTCACCTCTTTGCTCTTCATTCTTGCCAGTCCATTCCTGCTCATCTCTTTCCTCTCACAAGGAAAAATGTTACTGGAACACAGTACAGAAACAATGAGCTCGAGCAGACTTCAGTCTTCAGTAAGAAACCTGAGCTTAGTTTTGAAGAGAAGGGGCTTGTTATTGCCCATGAACTCTCTCATTTCAGATTCCCCCTCACAGCCAAACCGTAACAAGTATTTTACAGCTCCAGTTCCTACTTGTAGGGGAAATTGTTACCTGTCACTTGTCAAGTAGCTCAGTTGCCATTTTAGCAGATTTCTTGAGACAAGTAAACCATGTGCACTTTCACAGCATGGAAGTCTTCCAAATGGAAAGGTAACGCCATGAACACTGCTCTTCCCCAAAGAACTTCCCAAGGACCTGGCCCAGCACACTGCAGAGCTGACCTCCAGCAAACCACCAAGACTATAAACTAAATAAAGGGCTCCAGAGGGAATTAACTTCCCACTAATTCAAACACCTGCTAGTCCTCTCATCACATATTCCCAGTGCCATCCTGCCTTAATATTTCTAAGAGATTATCAAGCCCAGCTTGAGCTGAAACACACTTTCTGCCATTATCCTTCTGGGAATTAGGCTTTCAAATAATCCAGTTAGAGATGACGTGTGGCCAGTTCTTGTTGCTTTTGTTTTCTTCTTCCCCTTCTGTTCTTATAAAACCACTTGAACAATTCTTCCTCCTATTTTCCCCACCAATAGTAAAGCTCAATAAGCTACTGGGCAATATTATCCTTGGAGAAATATTGATTATCTGCTAGCCAAGAGCCAACTCAAAAGCACAGAAGTTATAACTCTTTCTGATACTGGGACTTTCACCACACTTGCAGGTTTGGTTAAGGTCGGCACCAACCTAAAGCAAGGATAGTGCAGCACATTCCCAGGATACAGCTGAATATCATCTACTGTAATGCTTGTCTTTGCACTCCCTGCTATTATGGTATTATATCAAATTTGAACAACAGCCATTTCACTTGCTAGAGAGCAGAGGGCAGCGAGGCAGAACACAACATCTGACGGGCAATCTTCAGAAGTTCTAGGCTCCAATACCTCCACTGGCACACTGTTCTTCTCTTTGGGCAACAAATGAGCACAAATCCCCCACAATCTAAGAGGAAATCTTAGGCAATTTGTCTCTCTCAAATGCAGTGAAATAAATGTTCTCCAAATTTCAGCTAGTGCCCACAAGTGCTTCTAAGAACTTCAGCAAACTGATACATGTGGTTTTTAAGCACAACTTGTTGAGGCTGCACACTTCTACACAAAAAAAAGCAGCTGCAGGAAACGAAGGCGCCAATATAGTGGTGCCATTTAACAGGATTTTGAAACGACAACGGCAGCTTTATGAGGGCAGGATACCCAAGAGCCTGACTTCCATGCAGCCAAGGGGATGCTGTATCATGTCTTCACCATAAACTAATGGAATCTTGGGGAAGGAGAAGGGGTAGGCAACATTCTGTAACAGTCCACACAGTTGTAAGCACGGTTCTAGCCATGTTAACTGACAACTTTGTAGTCAGTGTCTGCTCTAGCCTCTTATGCAGCAGCGCTTGGGAGGCAGCCAGGCAGCCTCTCTGCATTGCCATCGAGCAGCTCCAGAGGACTTGGTCTGTGTGGCTCCACCTGCACTCCAGTCTCACTGCTATGAGCATGGCTCTAAACCCAGGGCTGTCAGCTGAGCTCTTCTTTCAGACACAAAGACAAATCCACGATTTGAAATGAAAAATTAAAATGAAAAAGGATTTCTTTTGAAGAGAAAATAACTCAGGCCTCAGTAGCTTCCAAATCCAAGCAGAAGAAATTAAACTCCTCCTAGTACATGAGTGCTATTTGAGAAAAGTTGCTACATACAGTTATGATCTGATTTATGAACAAATTTCTGCAGTGACGAGCAAAGAATGTGGGCAGAACAGTAACTAAAGCCACACTTCAAAATATACATGTTCTAAAGTGAAAAGACTTCTCCAGCTGATTAAGTCCTGGCAGCAAACTCCCTGTCTGGCTCCAAGATCAGTTAAGTTTTTCCAGGCCATCTTCTCTGCCCATGCAGAGAAGAAGAATTTTGCTTAATATCAGTTCTTGTCGCAGCCCAAACAGAGATATTCACGTTAGACTCATTTGGGAGATAGCTGTTTACTGGCAAAGATGAGGACTTAGACTTAATGGAAAGGAGGAAATAAAACCAACCTGAACAACTACACGTCACTGTTTAAATCCCACAAATCATTTTGTGACCTCTACAAGGGCCATTCCTGCATATTCATAGCTCAAAAATATATAATTCTTTAAGTTGTGTTTGCTATCAGAAGGCAGTTTCCATTTTTAAACATCACATAGCAGATCGATGCTGCGTAGATGTCACTGCCACATCTGGGATCACATGTGTTCCAACTGTACTGCTATGAACTCAATGTTAACTCCTAACTAAGAGGACCTTAAACTATCAAGCAGCAATTGAAGTATCCTCGTGTCCACCTACAGCCTATGAGTTTACAGATGATGTGACATGAAACGGTTCTGAATATGGACAAAATTTAAGTGTTCAGAGTTAAATCTTCCAGCATGTTTTCAGAAGCAATATTACCGTACTTGTGAGATGCCTCAGTATTTAAAATACTTTTAAAACAGCACAGTTAAACCCAATATTCTGAGTTTTGCTGTAGGTGAGTCTCTTCAAGGTGTGCACAGGCATCTTTTTTTTTGCCAGACAATTATTTCTGTCACCAGAAGTTGGATCAATTTTTAAAAGCATTAACACTCCTGTGTATGATTCACAGCCCAAGCATTACATCAGCCCCCATTTAAAATGCATAATGTACATGCTGCATTGCTAGAGCAAGCCGTTTTTCAAGTCCACACTCATACAACATAACCTATGGAATAAGACCTACAACACAGGCTAAGAAAAGCTGAACTGAGGTCTCAGTATGGATATGGTAACACTCTTTCCTCTAGTGAGTCTGAAGTCACCAGTATCCTACTGCCTTCTACTCTATCAATGGCTAAAACAGTATCTTATTCCAGTTATGAATTCAGTGTTGGAGTGTTTAACCCCTCCCATGGTCCTGACATTATAAACTCTACAGATGCTTAAAGAAATCTGTGGAGTTGTAAGGTCAGGGAACACGACGGTGCAACTCCTGCCTCCAGCCAAAGAATTTACTCACACTACAAAAATGAACTCTCAAGTCTTTTCCAGGCATTTGCTACACAGTCAGTGGTTCTGCATCCTTTTAGTCCTAAAACTGTGGAGAAAAAAGCCCCAACCAAAACCCCCACAAATTACATTTCACATGGGCTATGTATTTTCTTGACTTCTCAGCTATGATTGTCAGCAAAGAGGAAGAGACTTCCAGAATTACTCAACCCCTTCCTTCCAAAATGCTTCTACAGAGTTTAGTAAAGGGCCATGAGACGAAGAAAAGAAGTTCTGATACATTAATACAGCTTCTGAAAAACAGCAGCTTCTCTGCTTCCTCGAGGGTATCAATACTTGGATCTCACACTAGTTTCCTGTACCCTCATGTGATTCTAGAGCCTGGGACACATGCTTTATTTAAGTGGGCTCCCAAGAACAAAGTACAAGGCAGAATGCGGCAGCAGCTTATCAACTGAGAATCAAGTAGCAACACATTGTCGTTATATTTCCTCTCTGTGCTGAGTAGGAAACACCAGCAGTCAGAGGCTGGAGGAATACAGCAAGATCTTACATAAGACTCCAATCGTGCAGAAAATCGAGCCAAAGCTGGGGAGGAGAGAAGGAATTTTCCCAAATTACAGTGGGTATTTCCAAGCATGAAACTATGAACACAATCCCTAACACAGCAACAGCTCCTAAGTGTACAAAACACAGGTATCTGTCCCAGCTTTTATGCCCAGTCTTGCAGAAATGATGCTCAGGAAGAAATGAAGCAGATGATTTCAAGTTCACAGTGCAATGGCAAGCCCCACGAGTTAAATGCTGAACACAAGAGTGTGCCAAGAATAAAGCTGGTAAGTCCCTCTTATTGTAAACTGGATTGGTGTCTAGAAAAATCACGCAGGGCAACAAACTCGGGTTCACAGTGCAGACCTAACACTGGGCCTGTCTCAGTTCAGAGATTAACCCTAAACTTCCCCCCACCCGGCTCGGGTTCAGTGGAAACAGAGCAGAGTGGTGAGAGGAACTCTTTTGACCATTTATCAGGCCTAACCAAGCCAATACTACCGCCAGTGCTGGCACCTTCTCCATGTTAAAACACCAGCTAATTGGAAGATCCATTACACAGGAAGTAGTTTTTAAGCACTCCACTGTGCTGTGTGCAGTAAGTGAGGATACTGCTCACCATGTGCCACACCAAACCCCATTGCAACACCCTCCGTGATGCGTATCGACACGTAAATCCTCGAGGTTTTGGGGAGGAAACACGATTAGTTTTACAGCAGTGGTAACCATACTCAAGTGAATCCAGGTATCAGATCTGACAGTAGTTACTGCAATCTTCTGGTGGGTACAGCTTTGTATTACTGTCCTCTACTGAGAGTGACAGGCTGACAGCTTGCAAAGCACTCCTGCTCTCATGTGGGCTCCATAGCCATCCACCACAAACTACCGTGAGGAAAACAAGTATGTGCTTTTTCTTCAGGTCACAACAAAACAAGTGACACAAGGAAACCAAAGCACTCTTGGCATCTGGGTAGAAAACGTCACTGGAAAAGAAGTGAGCCAGTTACGTTAACTGAACTGATTTGGGGGGGGGGGGGGTAATAACCAGAAAGTTCTGTTATATACAGCATAAATAAAAGTGCAATTCTTTTACACAATTCCGTAGGGTTTCACATTAAAACAACCCAAACATAACCACTTAGAACTCTAAAGGCAATCACAAAACTAGTATTCCCTTTCATTATGCCACGATGCTGCTCTACCACCACAGATGTAAACACGTTTAACACTGCTGAGCTGGAGGAAAAGGACGACAAATAACGTTCTATTCTGTGGTTTTCTCCCCTCTAAAAACTCTGGTCGCAAAAAGCCAAGTTCCACAGGCAGCCTCACAAATACTACGGGAATAATACGATACCTTTATAACACCATCTATCACTCATCAAGATAACGCTTTTAGCAAGCATGAGCATTCCATCAACCCGCACCAGGGGCACATCTAACTGCGAAAGGGGATTCTCCTGCCTTCCCAGACTGCAGGATGATGCACCACTTCCTTTAAGCACCCCTACAGGCCTGAGACACAGCCAAGAGCTCCCGGTCCTCATCCCAGACACCCGAGATCCAACTGAGCCGAAGCCCAAGCTCCGTCCTGCTGCCGGAACGCGGCACAGCCACAACCTGTCATCCTCGCTCGGCCGGGCTGCTCCTCACCGCAGCTCTTCCGCTCCTTCCCCACTCGCGCTCCCACTCGGCTCCCGGCACCACACCTCTCCCGCTGCCTGCGGACCGCCGGCCAGCCCCGCACCAGGCCCGCTCACAACTTTCCCCTCCTCCTTCCCTCAGGCCCCGCTCCCCCCGCGGGGCCGCTCCTACCTCGGGCCCAGCGGGTGCCTCCCGCCGCCGAGGCGCTGCTCCAGGCCGAGGCGCGGGCTGGGGGTGGCGGCCGCGAGCTCTCGCCCCCGCCTCACTCCGCGGCCAGCCCCGCTACGAGCACACCGGCGGCCGCAGCTCACTATTTGGCAGCATGTCTTCCCCGGCCCCTTGCCCCCGCAGCGCACTCAGCGGCTCATTATTCCGCAGGTCCCCGCAAATAGCTCACTATTTGGCAAAGCGCCCCTCCGGTAGCATACCTCACTATTTGGCAAAGCGCCCCTCCGGTATGATAGCTCACTATTTGGCAAAGCGCCCCTCCGGTAGCGTAGCTCACTATCTGGCAAAGAGCCCCTCGGGTACCATAGCTCACTATTTGGCAAAGAAGCCCTCGGCTACCATTGCTCACTATTTGGCAAAGAACCCCTCGGGTACCATAGCTCACTATTTGGCAAAGCGCCCCTCCGGTAGCGCTGCTCACTATTTGGCAAAGAACCCCTCGGGTACCATAGCTCACTATTTGGCAAAGCGCCCCTCCGGTAGCTCTGCTCACTATTTGGCAAAGAACCCCTCGGGTACCATAGCTCACTGTTTGGCAAAGAGCCCCTCAGCTGCTGTGGCTCACTATTTGGCAAAGATCTCCGTTTCCACAGCCCCGCACACCCAGCGCTGAGGCAGGAGCATGGCTCCATCCTCCTGCCTCCTGCCAGGCACTTGTAGGCAGCGGTCAGGTCCCACGGAGCCTCCTCTTCTTGCCCAGAGGGATCCTCTGGTCTCTATCGAAGGTGTTCAAGGCCCTTGTGGGGCCCCCGAGGTGACCCTGCTCGGAGCAGGCTGGGCCAGATGATGCCCTGAGGTCCCAGTTGCGCGGCAGCCCTAAGATCCCATCTCCGCACGGGCCTTCTCTTCTCGTTGTGATGGTTTGCAACCAGAGGAAGCCAAATTTTCATCATTACTAGGCCTTAATGACCTAAATGAAGCTGTTTCATAGAGAAGCTTCTCCGGCGCTTAAAGCACACCAGCAGCCTTTCCTCACTGCCAGCCTGAGCCTCGGCTTGCAGTGAATTGCTTGGATTGCGCCCCCATAACCACGTTAACCCGCTTGCACCGTGCTCCTCACAGCTCTGCTTGTTTAAATGGACAATGCGGTGTCTTTTGTCCCTTATCTCGGGTGAAAAATGCCGCTCCTCAAGCACCACGGTTGGTCCCGTGCTCGAGGACCGCATCTGCCCACTGCTGACGCAGGGACCGCTGCTTGCTCCATTGCTAACCCAGCACCCCGGGGCTCCCGGCGAGCATCCCATCCAAGTCCTGACCCGCTCCTGGAGCCTGCTTCAGCTCCAAGCTGCTGCCCACGGTGACGAAGAGCAGGCACTGCTGTGCTGCGAGGAGGCAACGCCATGAGCCCGCCTCTTGTGAAGCTTTCCTATTCCGGCTATGGAGCCCTCCTGGAATCCCATTTCCATGCCCTTTCCGTTGCCCTGGGGTTCCTGTTCCCCGCACAAAGGGGGTTTTCACTGATGTGTTTTATCCTCCTAGGGCTCGAAGCACAGCACCAGTTCTGGAGACCACAGGGAGGTTGCCCCCTTCCCTCCTGTACTGCACTTAGGCTGCAGACTGAGGGGTTCTAGGCAGAGCACACGTCGCTGTGCTTCAGTCCAGCGCTGGCTGCAGGGAGGTCAACCCCTCGTGCCGTTTGTGATGCTCTCCTGAGGAAGCGTCCCTGGTTCCCAGGAAGTGGACAGTGAACGCGGGTATCTGTGAGAACGCAGCTGGGATTCCACCTCTCCTCCCTCTGTAAAGCTGTGGAGGGTCAATGCTGTCGTGTCCCAGGTGGCAGATAGAAGATGCTGTCCCTCGCTCCTCGCAGACCCCTCTGTCCTTAACACAGCTCTGTAACAGAATGACTGCACCTTCCCTCGGGGCAGGCACTGCTTGAACCTTGACAGCCTGCACGGGGCGATGCTGACGTGTGCCTGGTTTGGCTCTACCGTGCTTGTGAGAGCACCCACTTCCAAAACAGCTCCCCTTCGGGTACGTGAATGCTCCGGGACAGGTTGGTTTCTCTGCAGGAGCAGAAATGCACATCCAGGTTTGGAGCTCCTGCTTCTGCAGCCCTGGAAGCTGGGGTTTGATGGGAGGCTTTGGAAACGGACGCCCATGAAACAGCTCCTGCTTTTGAACATTCACTCCCACTTTGGTTTTAATTATTTTGTTCCTGCGTTTCCCCTTGCAGTTCACTAAAACTCTAGCGATGTAATTAGAGAGAGGCTGCATCCGAGCAAGCTGCCAGCGTTTCTACAGCCTGATTAAATAGATCAGCCATCCCTTTAGTGAGAGATTGAAAACCAGGATTCTCATCATTATCTCCCTGTTATCCAGGAAGGAATCTGCTCCACGAACGGCTCCAGAGTTATTGAAAATGCAGCACTAATTAAAAGCTCATAGAGGCTCCTGGTGATTGGGAGGGTATGAAAGCAGTTATCTAATGATTTCCTGGATTTGCCATCTTTGGTACAAAAGCAAAGAAACCCACTCTAAACAAAGCCACCCCCAGTCACCGCAGAGACTTAATGAGGCTTTTGTGTATGCAACAGTCACCCAAACACTGCAAGGTGCCTGATTCACCTCTCCTTACACCAGTGAGACACCTACAGAGCTCATGGGCCCTATGTAATGCAGGAAGAATGCTGGGCTGTACTCACAACCTGCAGTGGAATCCTTGCTTGGGTTGAGGGTATGGTGCCTGTTCGGGTTCAGTTTAACTCAGAAAATGAAGCTTTATATTGCAGCCTTTTATGGTTTCATTGTGAAATAGCAGTGTTTGTGTCCTAGCCAATTAAAAGAGCCAGGATCAAAGAGGTTCTGCTTCCAGCCTGGCTTCTGCTCGGGAATCTCCATCCTTTTGCAAGCCTGGTGCCCTGACCCAGCCCAGCACGAAGCCTACGGTGTTATTTACCTTGTCAAGAGAGCTTTGGCACTGGCAGAGCACGCAGGAGGACCGGAAGTGCTGCTATGGTTTGTGATGAAAGGAAAAGCTTCTTTGAACCATGGAAGTCTGAGCATCCTCCAGGGAAAGGGAGCTGTGAGCTGCTTCTGTTGCAGCAGAACAGCAAGTACTGAGCTAGAGGCTGAGCGCAGCATCCCCGCTTGCCTCCACTGTCAAGTCAGTAATCTTCAGTGTTGCATGGAATAGGAGGGGAAGTTAAATATTACCCATCTTTACAAACTTAAGGAGGGAGAGAAGTTAAGCAGGTTCATATATACGGATAGGTAAAAAAAAGACAAATTTGGGAAACTTTGCTTCCCGTTTCAAAGCAGGAATCCAGAAAAGCGTAGGAATTAGGTGGGGTTTAAGCATCCCCATTCAAAACGACAGCTGGAACCAGTTCTTTTCCAACAGACGCGTAAAATGACAGGTCACTTGCTGCCCTTTCTGACCTGAGTTCCCTGCCCTCAGAACTGGCACTGCAATGAGCAATTCCCTCCCACCTTCATTGCATTTGGATCCAGCAGCACCTATGGCCCTTGAGGCATGAAGGGAGAACTTTGTGCAGCACAGCCACCACAACCATACAGCATAAATTCAGCGCAAAGCCATAGTGATCAGCACCTCTCCGAGGAAGCGCCTGGAAAAGGGATAGTTCCCTTTCCCACATCCAAACCTTCTTCAGGTCTGAGCTTCCCGCTGGGCACATTTCTTGTCCAGATTTGCTGTCCTGGCTTCTGGATGCTGTAAGATAACTTAGGCGTTGTTGCTGTGATTAAAAACTACTTTCAGCTGGGAGAAAACCAACCAATCTTGACCTCCTTCGGAAGAACCCTGACTTGGAGATTTTAATTGCAGGGAAGCTGCTCATAGCACTATTTTTACATGCACTGGAGAAGTATCAAAGCTAATGTTTTAGAAGAGTAAATTATACTTTAAAATGCACTATTATGAGAAAGTGACTCCCTAATGCCTTTGAGTTGGTGCTTTGTTTCTCGTTAGAAGCATCTCCTGTCTTCCCTGATGAGCCTGCTCTTGTTTTCAGGGCTGGTTTGCTTTAAGATGCTTTTGATCCTGTATTCATTAAAACCTGATCCTGCTGCTTCCCACCAGCCCTAATGGTCTGTGAAATGATTTTCCTTTCTCCAAGATGCTGTTAACTCTGCCAGCACCTGCAGAGCGGAGGAGCCCAGAACATTGTCACAAGTCCTCCCGTTTATCCAAACCAGCTTCTGCTCCACAAACGAGGATTCATCTTCAGTGTCATCCCAACAGCCTTCCTTAGGGGAGACGTGGGAACGGGCGG